GGCTCTGCGCATCGCCCATACATGAAAGTCCTGAACCTCATAGGCTGTAGGAAGAGCAGTATAGTCACATACAAACATGGAAAGTGAGGGAGTCAGACGGGTCCTCCTAGGCCATCTAGGATGACCCCCCAGCTCCAGCCATTTCTGCTCCTAGCCAAACATTTGCATTTCAGGGGCCTCCTCCTCCTTCTTCCTCTTTTCCACTAATGGATCCAGTGCATTAATTTAAGCATTCTCCTTCGTGTAATTTATAATCCATGTTAGCCTGTGATCAAAGCTTGGACTGTCTATCTGATCAGTTCCACTTCATTGCCTCATCCACACCCCACACCACCCACACAGACACACAAACACACAGAGATCACACACACACGCCTTGACCCCTCTTCTCCATGCCCCCTGCTGCAGATCCCCCTCCTGCTCCTGTGTTGCTCGTGGTCCCCCCCTCGGGCAAGGTGCCTGAAGGGGCCCCCCTGACCCTGCACTGCTCGGCCAGCGGGAACCAGTCCGAGAGGCGGTTCCACTTCTACCAGGATGGGGTGGAGAGGCCCCCCCCGGGGGACGAGGCTCTGCGCAGCTCGGGAGAAGGGGGAGGGGGCTCCCCAAATGCCTCCATCACCATCCCAAAGGCCAGGGCCAGCCACGCGGGGAGGTACGCCTGCAGCTATGTGGAGAAACGCAACATCTCCTGGCTCCCTTCCTCCCGGAGCCCGGAGGTGGACGTCACAGGTGAGTCTTTTGCGGGTGGGGAAACCACGGTGGGGCTGGAGGTCGCCTTACCAGCAGGGACCTGGGAATGCTGCAGACGAATATCCCACAATCCACCTGTTTGCGTCTTAGTGCGGACACCAGATTCACCTGCACCGCTGGAACCTTATATGGCATGCCTGGCCGTCCCCGTGGGGGCGCTGCTGCTCCCCGTGGCTTTCTGCTGCATCTGGAGGAGGAGGAGGAGGAGCAGGACTGGTTCGTGGGGGGGGGGGGTTGCTGGCATCCCTGCGCACCCTGGGGGAGGCTGCTTGGGGGTGAACTACATGTTACGCCAACTATATAGCATGGGACCACACAAGGCTGAGCCACCAGGTGCAACCTGGGCAGATACCAACCTCCCCACCGAGCAACCCCCATCTCTCGGGGTGCCCCTTTGGGGCGGTTCCCAGCCAGGCAGGGACATTCGCGCCCCCCTCCACAGATGCCAGTGCCCCGCTTTCTCCCCCTCCTGAACCCCCAGGGGGAAGGGGGGAGGATTGGAGGGGTGGGAACCGGCTGGCTGGATGCTTGGCCCCCCCACCCCACCCTGGCACAGCTTCCAGCATCCACCGCAGAGCCCCACACGCTGGGCCTCACTCTTGCTTCCCTCGCCCGACCCAGGAGCCTCCGGAGGCGGGCGAGGCGGAGAGCAGGACAAGACCGCGCCAGGCGTGGGAGACACACTGGAGCCCCAAGAGGAGGACGGGCAGGTGAGCAGGGGGCCTGGCGGGTGACTTCCAGCCCCTCCCCCTCCACCCCCCGGAGCACCCCTCGACTCCCCACTGGCTCCAGGGCTGAGCGGGACAGGGGAGATGGAAGGAGGGTGCCCAGCTCTGAGGGCAAAGCATTGCTCCTGACCCCGAAACGGGGTTCTGAGCCGTCCTCTCACCCCTTAGACACTCCCCTGAGAGGGCGCAGGATCACGTTCCCCACTGACTTTTTGCAGTTGCCTAGAGAAGCGTCTGCTTGAAGTGTGGGCTGCAAGAGGGAAATAGACCTTCCACGTACAGATGCAGTCTACCTCTGAACCAACATGGGTGGGGGGAGTCCAAAGCGAATAGTTGATCCAGCCCAGGACGATCCTCCT